AAGGTTTTGTAAATCCAACACAAGATCATTGAAAGCATCAGTGTGATCTTGTACCTTCATATTACCATCCTTCATCTTAAAACTCATCAGCTTCAAAAATGTATAGAGTTGATTGGACAACTCTTTTTGATGGTACTTCCTCTGGAGAGCCTCGAACAACGACGAACAATCTCCATACTTTTCAAGCTGCCGTATCACATGGGGTTGTAACTGGAGCATGATTGTGTTCACCGCCCTTTCTTGCATGTCGTTCCAGTCTTCTACAGGCACATCTTCCGGCTTCGTCTTCAAAAGCTTACTAGAATCGGTAGCTTTCAACATGCCCTTCACTTTTTGTTCCCACAACAAGTAGTACGTACGTCCATCATACTTGGCAATCTCAAACTTGGTGCCACCGACCTTCATTGTTCCCATGATGCCTCACCTGGTCTCTTGACATTCCTACGGTGCTATTTCAATGTCAATATGGTTCTCCAAACTCTCTCCCCCTTGATATATAGCAGTAAATGTGGAAAAATTACCCTCAAGAATGAATTCCATGAGAAAATCCAGGACCATTGGAAAATAGCCCACAAGATAACCAATCTGATACTTTAAAATTTGCAATCCCAACCTCCGAGTGAAAACTTATTTACCGTTTAAGTTGGGAAGATCAAAATTGCCAAAAATTACTTTTCTTCCCCGTTTTGACCTCCCCGGAGAATCTTGAAAGTGGAAATAATTTTCTCCAAGGATCTTCAAAGATAGCTAACTTTGTGACAAATGCGCACAAAAAATTTAGGCCGAAAACGGGCACCGTCTGCTCCTCCAAATCCACCGTCAATGGCCAGAATATGACGTTCTGTGTTTTGGAAACTTTTTGGAAGATTCCGTGACAGGGGGTGTAAGGCCCAGTCGCACAGGGAGACAGATCATGTCACAAGACCTCGACATGGCCTCGACAGAGTCAAAATTTAGGGATTTCCCTTGTAATTTATTTTTTCAAAAATTACAAGGGAAAGTTAAACGAAGTGGAAGGGGGGAGGGGGAGGAATCAAATTTTCTCCAAAGAAAAAGTTAAGTGTTCTAACTTTAAGTTTACACTTTAACTTAATCTTTGAAACTGCGTTTTCAACCACAAAGACACAACGTGAACATTGAGAATGTTTTCAAATTTGCTCTTTTGTCACTGTAACAGGCGTGTTAGGAATTTCATGCCCGTTAGAAAAAGTACCTCGACTCGCATCTCGCTTCCTCGTTCACCGTAGAAACTAAGTGAAAATAAAATAAAAAACTAGTGAAGTGAGTAACTCTATCCGTAATTAACACTTTGCTTAAGCCATGATTCACAAAAACTGCATCTATATACAATTGAGCTAGTTGTGGAGCTGTTACTATTTTTGTGGTTGGCCTAATGTGAATCATCTTGTTCAATTTGTCCACAAAAACCACCACTGAATCATGTCTTAACACCATTCGAGTTGTAATACTACGGTTTTGAGAGAAGTTCACTTGAAGATAAAAATGTAAATTCTGAAGATGAGAGTTACCAACAATGGTTCTCCTCTCCCTTATATAGCTCTCACCAACAAGTACAAAGAGATAAGATATTATCCCCACCATCCATCCCATTCCTAGTGGATGGATGAGGTGATGGTTAACCCTAACAAGCACACATATCGCTGACGTGGCGCTCTCAACTAACACACTAACTAACACACTCAATCCTTACCTACAAGCACACGGATTGCTGACGTGGCACTGTCAACTAACACATCCACTATGTATCTACCAAGCGCGCGGATCGCTGACGTGATAGCTATGACTAGTGCACACTAAAGTATCTATATCAATATTTAAAGTAATCTCTACTTTAGTTCTAACTGACGAAAGATTGTCACAAGAAGGGGGGAGGGGGAGGAATCAAATTTTCTCCAAAGAAAAGTTAAGTGTTTTAACTTTAAGTTTACACTTAAACTTGATCTTTGAAACCGCGTTTTCAACCACAAAGACGGAACGTGAACATTGAGAATGTTTCCAAATTTGCTCTTCCGTCACTACGACAGGCCTGTTAGGGATTTTAGTCTCGTTAGAAAAAGTAACTCGACTCGCATCTCGCTTTCTCGTTCACCGTAGACCGCAATTCTGGTAGCAAATCGACCGCGCCGGCTTGATGTCTTCATTGCTTTACTTTTCATCCCGCTTTTTTTCACCAACCAAACGCCACAATGAAAAATGAGTTTGAGGCCGGTCCTAAATGTCCATAGTCGGCAGAAACTCCAGAAATTGTTTTCGGCTCATAACTTTCCACCCGCAAGTCAAAACTCAACTAGTCTTGCGTTAATGCAACCGGCTTGCCCCGATCTACGTTTTCCACACAAGCTTGCATGTTCACAACACACTGTGACTCTCCCGAAATCAAGAAATCAATTTCACATAAAAACCGTCGGTAAAATCTTAAAACATTCGACCATGAAACCATCGGAAATACCCTAATCTCAATAACTCCGCGCTTAGAACTCCAATTGATCTTGTTCAAGTATCGTTAGAACGCCCTCGACTTAAGCTTTCCGATTATCCAAGATTTTCTCACATTCACGTGACGAAACTCCGAAAAAATCTCAAATTGTCAACTAACTGCTCGCAGGAGCACTCACAAACCCGTCACCATCCAGGTGGGCTCTGCTACCATTTGTTAAACATAAACGGCATACACATTGAGACATACACGCACGTGAGAAGTCGACACCCAGAGATATCGTGGTTCACCTACACTTAGGCTACGTCCATGGGAACAATGAGAACTTTACTAAGTATATAAGCCATAGTCGTACCGAGTCTCTACTCTCCAAGCTCTCACGCTCTCCATGAAGCACTCATACATAACGAGTGTTCTATCTCTTAGCTAGTGAGCTCACACAGACTCACCTATATAGCAAGCAACCCAAACATAAGCTAGTCCCTAACTAAGGTTAAGCTAACTAGAGTTAGCCGAGAAAGTAAATGTGAGTGCCATTTCTTGAGCGAGGAATTGATAAACAGATCTATTCAGTGATTGCAGGCTTCGAGAGTACGAGTTGCATGATGTTTCAACAGCAAGTGCTTGTGTTTTTCTTCTGCAATGATGGAGATTAATGCATGAAATTGAGTCGATTTGGCTCAAGGCAAGGCGTTCTCAAGATTTGGATTAGACCTGATTCTTGATGAAGTTTTGACGATCATTAGTTCGGATGTTCCGATGAATAATGGTCTGATTATTGGATCAAAGTCTGTAGGATTCTGAAATCCTAGATTTGGTGGAGAAATGTGCTGTCCTCTTTGAGTTGTCGCTCGTTAAGTGTGAGTTGCAATAAGAGCTTCGATTTCCAGCCCCGACTACAGGTTTAGTAGTAGAACTCGTGTTGTTTGAAAGGGACCTCAGAGTCTCAAGTGGCTGGTAGCATGGGGTTTTGGAGCTTTGATGGTACAACGAGTTTAGTGGGTTCAGAGGGGCAGAGCTGATGTGTATGAGCTCATGTGGCTTTTCCTAGAACGAGTTTGAGAGAACTGTTGCGGAAGGAGTCAAGTTGAGATTGTTGAAGTTTTTGGATGTCCGAGAATGCAGCATTGATGGAAGGACATATTGGTCGTTTAGGAACAAACTTGCTGCTGAGATCAAACATGTTCTAGGTACGAAGAGATTAGACTAGCTCATAAAATATATATGAATAATTTTAATATAAATAATTGTAATTCTTATTTACAACTAGGACTTTTGATTTAGGTTGTTATATTAGGGACATCATTATAGTGCTTTTACTACTAGCTAGGGTTGATCTTTAGTATATTTTTCCTAGTGAGTGAATGTGTTGACTTGTATTGTGTTTTTTAGCCTTTGATCTTTGAGCTAATTCTAGTTATCATTTACCAATATTTTGTTAATCTACATAATCTTTTGTTATTTTCTTTGATGGTTATAAACCGGCACATCTTTTAAACATATGCTATAATCTGGATATAATACAACATAGTTTATAGTATTTTTATTGCATACAAATTCATGATTTTGACTAGAAATTAAAATTTTGGTAAAAGTTATATTTACTACTTAAAGATGTAGTTTTCAAAAACAGTTATCCTCTTGTTATAGGAAATATTGCACATTAATGGACATTAAGACAAATTCTTTGTTGCATTATCCTTGGAGTAATTCAGAGATGTCTATGTTATCTTTACATGTTTGTGGGAAATGTACAAGAGAAAACAATATCAACTCGCATTAAGTATAACTTTGTTTTATCCTATGTGAAAAAACTATTTTAAATATGGTAGCGGCTAGTTATCACTCAATTAACTCTGATTCTCCCTAGGCTAGTCTTCCCATTTTCAACACTATTTCTTCCCTCGCACGTTTTATGTCTCCTTGCATGGTACAGACCAATCAAAGATCTCTCTTGTGAATGATAATTAGGTTTAAGTGGGTGATAACTAACCACTCCTTTAAATTATCGGAGAATGAATGCCCCACCCGCAGGCACGGTTGCGGGTTCCACTTGCCGTTGTTGCGACAGAAAATAAAGCCTATAAAGACCTGTATTGCAGTCTTTGTGTTAGCCGCATCATTGTTTTATATGGAGCATTAGATGGTATTATCCATGAAGAATCAATCGCGTTAGGTAGTGTTTCTCTTATCGATGTGTTGTTTGTATCTGGTTTTTAAAACGAAATATATTTTTTTGTGGAATATATGATATTTTCGGACATTGGTCTACTAGCCATGTGAGATGTTTGATTTCATCCATGTGGGGCTAGATATGGAATTCCCATCCCATGTAAATTTGTTCACCAGTTACAGTACTGTGCATTGTATCCCATAAAAATCAACGGTGGATATATCTACAGACTTTGTCGACATTGCACTCATGACGCTCGTAGTTGTGCTCCGAGACTTGCAAAGATAGATCGACCACCTTTTGGCCCATCGAACGGTCAGATCGTCGTGGTCACTCAGTAAATTTATCTTGCCCTCGTCTGTCTATTCAAGAACAGAGGGGACCGAGCACGACCTCGGGGTGGTGTTCAGCAGTTTCAGAATTTAGTTGCCTCTCTGCTATTTTGGTACCCACTATGTTACGGAGTGGACATTGAGATCGTGGAAGCCATTATTGTTTTCACTTTGAGCTTGGTCCTCGCATCTTCCTTCGAATCTTTGCAGCTTGACGCAGATCTGATTGGCATTGGTGGGGCCGGGTAGTGATGTCGACGAAGTCATTTCTGATCCTACAGCTGCTAGTTTCTATGTTCAGTTTCTTTTCTAAAGAACAATGCAACTCAGCTAGTGATCCTAAAGACGAAGACCTCTGCATCAGAGATCGATTGCAGAAACGAAACAAGGTGCACTGAGACGTCCTTTGATCACATTCGATGAAGCATTTCAAGTGATTTTGGTGATTTTTTGAGCTTTGTTGTGTATGAATGTTATCGTGAGAATGTCTAACTTTTATTCAATTCCTTTGGGAGAGTGACCTATCACATTTACTTTGACTCGATCGCTTCAAAGTCTTGCCTCGATTGCTTTCAGTTGAGGTCAGTTCTCAGAGGCCTTAACTGTGGATGAAGAAGTTACCGAAAATTAATGCATGATTCATTCAATTGTAGTCGGGAATGATCGTTCATGTGTGATAAAACAGCATGTAAACTTTACGTTAGAAGCATTTGCTCAAGCAAGCTAGATAATTGCTTACAGTAGATACTTTGCGGTTAGCTCTGAATTTCTTCATTGAATGGAGTCTACGCGAGATACAGAAACTTTGAGTCGCTCGGATAATTCGTTACTTAACAGTTGTGAATGTCGCCTTGGCGGCTGTTCTGATTCATCTACTTGACTGATCTGAGGCTAGATAGTGGACACGATCTGCGATAGTGCCGATCTGCTCAAGTTCAAACGAGATGTCCAGGTTTCAATATCTGGACACCTTGGACCTGATCGGCTCAGAAGAATGCTTCATCTCTGTTCTGCAGATCAGACAAACTAGATGTGCAATAACCCTTAAACAGCGCTGAGCGGACTTGTGAGTTTCAGTCGGTCTTGTAATAAAACCCTTATCAGGAAGCTACGAATGGTTTTAATGCCGAGAATACAGGAGCAGCACTCGTGCACTGAAGCTCGTGTTGTTCAGAAGTTAGTAGGTCATAGAGCTAACACCTTGCTACGCGGTGACCTGACTATCGTGATCGAGTCTTCAGTCACCTCCTTTGTTTCCTTGGTTGTTGTTAGTATACTTGTACGCTTGAGATCTTGATATCCCCACCATCGGTGAGGCAGAAAATTGCTGAAAGCAAGTACCCTAGAATTCTAGTTGTAGCCTAGACCTTAGAGAGAGACGCCACGTGCTCGGGAAGAGTCAAAAATCTTTTTTTTGAAACTCGACCAACGGAAACTTCGTCGAAACGGCTGAGAAAGAAGCACTACGTGCCGTGAGTAGCCTCGGCTTAGTATTATGTTAACCCACTCGCCCCTCCAGTGTCTAAAGGGATGAAAGTTTTTATCAGGTCGAGAACGTAGGACTGTAATGAATGAAAAGAATATTATATGGCGGGCGCTTTGCTGGAATGAACCAGTTTAACTCGATGTGCCTTTGTACATTGTGGTCCATAACATGAGTTCCAAGTCAATTTCGAGACAATAGATGGATATCGAGACGTTCGAAACTTTTTAAGCTAGAATTTGATGTTGCCAAGGAATGAGGGGGCTATTACGAGGGGGCTGGAAAGTATCCTTGTCCTAAAGAGAAAAAGCGCATGCTTGTACCTTCGTGTCAGAATTTTCATTTCCTCTAGTAACAGCGGTATACTCCGAATGTTGTCACCGTATCAGTTTTACTTCTGAGCTCGGAGCTCACTTATATAACTCAGAAAGTATAATGAAGAAGTCTTGGCTGCGATGTGGTTTTAGCTTGTTGTCGAGAGGCCTTACGTGCGTTAAATTCCCGCAGGTTGCCAGGTCTATACTGGAACAGATATCGACTGTATTTAAGACAATCAGTCTTGATGGAGTATGCTGTGGATGCTGCGTTCGAAGGAGCTGGTCAAGCACCGTATCCTCGAACAAGTTGTTATGTTCATGATGTTTGAACGTTTTGATAAAACTCTTATTCAGGCGCTTCTTACATGCAGTCTAAGCGTCGTGAGATCGAATAATAACCATTCAGGCCAGATATTCTACACTCACATTTACTTGTTATAAGCACGATCACTCCAGATCTTAGTTCTGTTTATATCTTGCATAAAATAGCGTATTCGTGCGCTAGACGTTTTGACCTTGTACTTCATGCTTTTCCCTGTTGTCAAGTCAATGTTGCTTGAGTCTTCAGCTAAAATAAGTGTTTTGATTACAAGTTTCTTCTTATGCTTCAGCTCCTTCCCAAAGTTGTATTCTGTAGTAATCTTTCTCACACTTTGCTTTCAAATTATATTTTTGTTACGGCGAGTACGTTTCAAAAAAAGATAACCACAAAAGCACAAAGTTAACATTTTTCCTCACAATTGGTTCACAGTGAAGTTCAAACATATTAACATCCTTGACAAGTTTCTAGTGGAACGGAGATATGGCGTATCGAAGACTTCTCTCCTGTACCTCTACCTAAGGCTGACTACGGAAAGTTCTATACAGGAGATTCTTACATTTTCCTGCAGGTGAGGGCTGATTCTATCGGTGTTCAAAAACGCGTTTCTTCTCAAATCTTTGCTTTTCATGTGTCCGGTATTTACTTAGTCATCAAGAAGAGGTACCCGTGAAGCTTTGGAAAGTGACAGATATGATGACTCTTTTTGTCAATGGCTGACGTCTGAGTTTGAAGGCAAACAAGAGCTATGTAGATGGCATTGGATATTTGAGATGAAAATCTAGTGTGCAGCTCATTGAAAATTGAAAGTTTTCTCTTCAGACAACCAAAACGAGCAGCGGAGCTCTGAAATACGATCTACACTTTTGGCTTGGTAAAGATACCAGTCAGGTAATCTAGTCATATCTACCCTTCCTGCTCTTTCTGCTTCTGAGCTTCTGTGTGCAAACTTCTGTGCACTTTAATGCTTGACTTTGCTTCTATGCTAGTACACGAAGTGCGCTTGTCGCAGTCACGCTAAGAAAATTGGAGTTAGTATTTATTTGTTTCAGACCTCCAGTCTTGAGTTTTCGTAATTTTTTTGCGTTACATGGAAACTTCATCTTGGGAAGTTTTATCTGTGCTCTCGGAAAATTTGGCTGGGAGGAATCAAAACACAATCTGGCCTCTCCCTGTCCACGATATGCCCTGAACCAGTAATATACAAAAAATTCAGCAGGATTTTCCTTGCCTAAGCACAGGGCTAAGACTTAATCAACGGACGGAAGCCATCCCTCAGACCAACAAGAAGAGCAAGATGAATAACCAGTCCGCTACCTGCACACTCTTTGGTGTAGAGATCGAACCTTTATCCATAGTCTGGTTAAGTGCAGCACTTGTGCGTGCACCACAACCATGTTCACCTGGTGGCAATAGAAACGTGCTCATAATTCCTAAGCCTCGACTCAAAGCTCAAATCTGCTGCTGTTTTGAATCAAATCTTTGAAGGTCAACAACTATTACAGGTGGATGAGCTGGTGAATTGCTAATCTGTTGACAGCCGGAAGCTTCGAACGAACTTCATTTATGTAGGAAATCCTACTAAAAGAGGAGCCCTCATTCGCCTCCTTCTTTACCTCATCTTACTTCTTCCTCCTACTCTGTAATTAGAAGCAGCGGTCAGCCAGGGCCGAGGTCTATGACCATGATATGGAAAAGTAACGAGTTCGTTCAGTCCTTGAAAGTTATCATAGGGGCGAGGTTAGGGAAAATTATCAAAATTCACGATTTGTACTCTGTTGAGTCTGTTGAGGCTATTGGGTTCTTCTTTCTCATGCGTTGACTTCTGCTGCGTATATGGAAATATAAGCGTGGTCCTCGCTTTTATCTTTCAGCTGTCTCGGTTGGACTAGTCCAGTGGCCATTAGACTTGATCACCTCAGATTGGATCCATTAACTTTTCGAGTGAGACTGTAAGAGCAATCTTGAGTCTATCATATCATGACGCAGTATATGTTAAGTGCTCCTTTCTCCAACGACATTCTCCACTCAACGTTGCTCATTTTCGTAAAAATTGTTTTTTCAAGCCTAATTGGACTTCGAACCACAACTGGATCAAATACTCAATGGATTTTTTGAACTTGAGATTATTCTTCAGTTCATGAGATAGGTTCAGTTTATTACATTTAGAACTCGAGCTACACAGATCAATGTTTTCTTCCGAGGAGGTCAGACGATTTTTTCTTTAGCTTTGATCATATTTGTGCCGAAAGCTCATGCAATGGTAGAATCAGGAAGGGCAATATCTGACGCTATCGTGGTCTGGTTGATGGAAATTACCTATGAAGAGTTGGGGAGCTGAACACTTAACAGCGCTACAGTCTAATCTTGTTGTAATGTGTTGAAGGATGAGGCTGGAACCGCAGCTATTAAGACTGTGGAGTTAGATACACACTTGGGAGATAAAGCAGTACAGTACAGGGAATGTCAGGGTCACGAAAGTGATCTCTTTCTGTCTTATTTCAAGTCTCCCATCATTCCGCTTGATGGAGGCGTTGCATCAGGATTTAAAAAGGTAGAAGCTGAGGTATTTGAAAACAAGCTCTTTGTCATCAAAGGAACCCGAGCTAACACGCGAGTGACTCAGGTTAGTAACTAAGCCTTGTCATACGAATAATGACTTTCGAAGCCTGCCTGTGTTTGTTGTATGTGCGTTTTAATATCACTATGCATATGTCTATCCTTGGGAACGAACACACGAACATAGAAGCCTTTTGAAACTCTAGACTAATCGTCTTCAGACAAGCTCAATGGAAGTGGCCTTCTTTGACTCTGACTATTGTGCAACGCTACTTAAGCTCGGACGTGGAAACCTAGACTGCTTGATGTAACATCCGAGTGCATGCATTTCAGGTACCCGTTGCTCGAGAATCTCTCACTCATGATGATGTATTTATTCTGGACACAAAAGACAATATATTCCAGTTCAATGGAGAAAAGTCGAGCATTTCAGAAAGGGGAAAAGCTATGGAAGTTGTCCAGCAGTTGAAGGACACGAATCATGACGGCAGCTGTGATGTTGTTCTTATTGGTACGTTCTTTAGAACTTTATTTCTTGGAGGAACCTCAGCTGGATATTAATAAATCTTCACTGGAGTTGAAGGCAACGCGTATAGATCTCTAAGCTTACTCGCTAAAATATCAGATGAAGATGGAGCGGAAGCTGAAGCAGAGCAATTTTGGGCTGTTTTCGGAGGTGTTGGTCCAATAGGAGAGAAATCTACCGAGGAGGCAGCTGGTCCAGTGAAGCTTTCACTGTAATACTTCCGCCGCTCTTTTCTTCTCATGTCTGTCTGTACATTTCAGTTGTCGGATGATAGTGCTTTGAACTTATGGGATGCAAGCTGGTATGAAATTCTGCATCTCATATTCCATACAGAAGGCATGTATCGACAAAGGTAATTTTGCTATGTGTATCACTGGTCTCATTTCCCTGCATATGCGAAGGCAATCTCCTTGCTTTCCAAGCTAGGGTCTGTAGCACTGTCGTCTATTTACTAACCTTCGTTCTAAGCTGTCTCCAATTACGAAATTTTGTTGCAGATTCGAATCGTGGTTCAATATGTGAGGTTTAAGTCCTTATATTAGAGTTTCTGCAACGTCTGTTGTGTGAGATCTGATCACTGCTCCTAAGTAGAATAAGCAGGACATTTGTACTATTTTCATCACCTGAACATTAGAGCGTGTCGTAGGGGAATCTACTGTAGTTTCCACCACTCACGTTATTGCTCTGACTCGACTATTACGCGTTTGTGTGTTTTTTTCTGAGTGAAGTGTTGTAGATGGAGATTTGAAGGAAGTTGAAGAGGCTACTCTGACAAAAGATACCTTAGACACCCAGAGCTGTTATTTACTTGATACTGGGAGTGATGTTTATGTGTGGCTCGGTCGGGGAAGCACTCTTCAAGAAAAGAAGGCTGCCACACTAGCTGCCGAGGCAAGTGTCCAATCGATGTTCTCTGTTTATTTTGGACTCTAGTTTTCATATTGTCGACATTATTCTTGTCTGTCAAAGACCCGATCATGGCTGAGCTGTGATCTGGTTTTCTAAAACAAAGCTTATGCTGCACAAGAGCTTAGGAAAGATGGTGAAGACCCGACCTTGCTAGCTAGAACTCAGGTCTAACGGCGAACGTGATATCGGGTTGCTGGAATACTTTGGTATTTTCATGCCTTCATGCCTTATCATCTCAAACGGTTTACTAATTTCTCTGTGTGGCTTGTTCAGAAAATCATTTCAAGCCAAAAGAGGCCTTCTTTTACCCGTATCACGAGGGTTACAGAGGGCTATGAACTTCCTGTGTTCAAGTCTTTCTTTCAAGAATGGTCTCAAACGGAATCAGATGAGTGAAGGCTGCTTACAAGGTTATTTCGTGGGAGGTTGCAATTCTGGTCATCCCTGACTTCGATGGCATTTCATTGATTTACAGCGTGTTCTCTTGTGGAAGCACTCGTCACTTATGCGAAGCTTTTTAGGCAGGGCTTTTTAGGCAGATCCAAACTCCCGAATGGAATATTTCTGGTTCACCGTATTGGTCAATATTAGGAGCTCCTCATTATTAGTGTGAAAATTTTATCAGGTGCTGGCCTAGACCAGACAGGACTCCATTCGTTAAAGGTTTACGCTTGTTGACCATCTAGAAAGGACTGGTTCAAGCTGGTCAAAGCTGTGTTTACATATGAGCCCTTTCCGACTCTAATGAAACAGTCTTCTGTTCTAGGGCACCACCACTCGTCTCTGGGTTTTCTTGTTGTGTTCTCGATCAAGACCAATATTGACGTCGGGTAAGAGCGTAATTAAAGAAGCTGTTTTTTCAACTAACCTAATTTCAAAATCAAAAACATCAATCGAAACATTACAAGTGAGATTTCATTTTACGGAAAACGGAAAGTTTGGATACTCGACTTACAAAATGCAGGGAATATATCAGTCTCCGTTCGAATATTCTGGAACGTGTTCCCTGTTTAGAGTACACTAACGGGGAAATACAATTCTGTGCATTCACAAGCATTTGCAACCGTCAGGTTGCTGTGCGATCCTGTGTGTTCGGAGACTGCTAGCAAGGCTAATTATATATCTGTGGCTGTATACAGCGAATCCTTAGTCCTTCAGTGGTCAGAATGTCTACAGCCTGCAAGCAAGATACGTCCCTGCGTTCACTGTGCGTGACCACTTTATACGGCAATTTGGAATAAATGCAACTCTTGCATGCTCGACATCGAACTGCGTCGTCTTCTTCCAACAAAGTCGTTAGGTTACTAGTAATTCAAACGTCCCGCAATGCAGTCGCTAGATAATCTGGTAGTTACAAAGAGCTGAGAAAGATCAACTTGGACGGTGGACGACATCTCCTAGGACCTCCAAGAAAAGCCGCTGTACCGTGCATATTCGTGGGCAGCAACCTGTATTCCTTACAGACGGGTCTTACGTTTCAGTGTTTGATGCATATCGGGATCGAGTGGACGAAGATAAATCTTCAGTTCTTGTCTGTTTGTCATTTAGACAAGAAGCAGGTCCCCACCATCATCAAAAGCGTTCTTCTCTTGAAGCCCAATTGGATGGCCAGCTACGGCTGTTGATCTATGCCATAACTTTGCTTATAAAAGAGCCTCCAGACTGCTGCAAAACAAAACTCATCAATCTTTGTTGGCTTGACTTCTGACGTTCAAGTGCCTATTATTGGAGCTAGACCGCTCTGAAAGAACAACCAAAGATTTACCTTTTGCGATTCGATCTGTTCGCCCACTACCTTCAAATCAGAGGCACCTCCTAATGCGGCTGTTGCAAAAGAATCTAAAATTCTATTCCATCGCCCCATGAGAATAACTAGGTGTCTTGCGTCTATGCCGAAAGTTAGCCAGCAAGATATCCATCACTCACTAACATGGAGAGACCTTTGGGCATCTGGATAAAGTTAGAAAGGTTTGGCAGTAGGTAGAGACAGGATAATTGTCCAGACTGCGAGTGATTCCTCTCGACTCCACGTCATTTCATTATGGCTATTTCACCTCTTGAAAAAACAGGTAGATTCTCCACTTAGGACTTCATTGTTGGATCTGTGATGCGTACTAGGCCTTATTTAAACCTAGCTCCAATGAGCAATTTCTGTAAATTGTAAAGAAAACGCTGTTTCACTGTGAAAAAACGCAAGCCGGTTTCTCCTGGGTCATTTTAACTTCGTTTGATCTGATGTTCTAGAAGGATCACTAGTCCTAGAGGAAATAGGAAACAAGTCTTCCTTACACCTCTATCTAACTTTTTGACTACTGGCACAAGATGAAAATGTCTTCACATCTTGTTAAGCACTTGGATCACCAGCGATATTCAGAAACAAACATTTGGAAAAGGTCGAATTTGGCGATTCCTCTCATCTCATCCAGGTTGAGTTATTGTTTAAAGTCAAACATAAATTTTTAACATTAACTTTGTTCTAATCAACATTGGAAACTTTGTCATCAAAGCTCTATTGTATAGGATGATATCATATTACTAGCATCATATGCTATTAGTTTACAAAAAACACCGAGAAGCTTTGGCAAGATTTTGTACCGAAAATCAAATGGAGATAAATTTGGAAAAGTTTAAAGTCATGACAGTCGGCACTAAATCCAATTCTCAATTTTTTACAAATATCTACAATTAGAAGAAGTGAATAGTTAGAAATATATAGGTATTGATTTCTCTAATGATTAAAATTGGGCACTTTGAATGCAAAAGAGAGTAGAAATTGGTACAAAGCTCTATATTCATTATTAAATCATTGTAGAAGAGCTCGTCTAGTGTCATGAAGTCTTAAGAAATTTTTATTTAGAAGCTTAGTGCTACCGGTAATCTTATATGGGACCAAGTATGGAATCCTAGTTATAGATAGACAGGTTGAGAACTTGTGGAGAGAGAACACGAGATCTTTCTACGAGGAGAATTTGGATGTAAGAAACCAAACTCCATATGCTATTTTTTTTGCGGAAATATGTTGTCTACCTCTAGAGTCCAAACCTTTATATTTGATCATCACTTACATCAGAAGTGTGATATCTCTTGATGCTTCTCGTCTTCATCTTCAACCCATGGCACTCCGCCAGCCTGTAAAGGAGGAAATTTTCAACATTATTTGGAGTAGACGAATCACCAAAATGCAAGTTTATCAACTTCATGTGAATCCTATGCTTGTGTACAATGAACAAGAATACATGCTTGCATGGATCTCTACATCCGTACATCATATTATTGCTAGGCAAAGAATTGGATCTCATAAACTTGGAATTCAGGAATGACGTTGTTTTAATATCAATAGTAATTAACCTCTTTGTAGGGTATGCATCAATGGACATATTGAAGATGAACAGCAAGTATTTGTTACTTGTACTAGTTAAAAATAGATTAGACTTGCTCATAATATAGATGTGGAGAATTTATTCTTTATAACAGTTAGTATGTTTTGATTTAGGTTGTTATATTAGGAACGTCATTAGTTATTGCTATAGTGCTCTTGGCCCTAGTTAGATATTGATCTTTACGGTCTTTTTGTTTGTTTGTGATTTTTGGCTTGCTTTCTTATACTTTGGATCCCAAGGGCTTGATTTATTTACCATTTTTAATTTAAAAATATGTCTTTTGAATTATTATGACATGCTAGTCCAAATTTAATGTATTAGAACACAAATTGTTTGTGTACTTGCTCACCGGATCAAAAATTTAACGGTCTTCTCTGAATATCTTCAATGAAGATAACTGTACAATACATGCCACATAAATCTCAATGTCCACAAACAAGGTACAAGTTTCAGGTCTGAAAGTTTGACAAGCGAAGTTCTTTTCTGATCGGCTGTCTATGCCACATTTTGAACGAGTCAAACTCCATGCATCGCCCTTTCTTGTTATCAGCAAATGTCAAAAACATGAGCAAGATATATGCTGTTCTGCATGGATCTGATCTTTTTTCACCGATATTTGGGCCTTCGAAAATGCTGTCAGATGGCAATATAGCTTAAAAATAGCAAATGGATACAAGCTACTGACACGAAATTTTCGAGAATGGATATAGGTTCACACCAGTAGTAGTTGAAAGTGCATCTTTGTTCTGGACATCTTTCTTCGTAACTTAATTGATTGGTGCATTAGCTAGAGGAAGGATAAACCACGGCGTGTGAAGCGGAGTTTACTCATAAGTTCGGCGCAGCATCTACTCACTTCCTATGTGGAACAAGCCTCTTTGTAGAGGGGGCACCAAGTAAGTCTTATTGTAGAGTATATAAGTCCGGTACTTGTCGAAGATGGAGTCCGCGTCCACTATTATCCTCGCTGCTTGCGAAGCGGATAGGTCTTTCAGGTCTTCGGACCGAAGTGTAACCTCACGGAACTGGTCACAAGCGCCGACAAAGGAACCATTCTCCTGCGCTATCTCAAATTCCTCAATGAGAATCAAAGGCGGACAATTCTCTCCTGACTTCTGAGCGCAAGGTCAGGGAAGCCCCATGGGTTCCTGGTCATCGGCAGGTGTCACACGGGGAATACCTCTGTATTATCCTTGGCATGGAGTTCTCCACAAGATTGAACAAGCATTCGCGACTGGAGACTGACAAGAAGAAAACTGCTTTGTCAGAACTCCCATTGCATTGCGAGGATATGGAGAGTATCGACGGGTATATTCGCAACTTTTCACACATTTCCAGCAAGACATGACCAGCAGTAAGTTAGCTGCGTTAGTGCCAAGTAATACTCGAGAGAGTTTGACGGATTGTTCTCTCAACCGAAAGCCTACATCTGTCATTGTATCGGAGATGCACTATGTAGAGAATATTCCTTTTGCACAATATGCTGTAGACAATGTCTGAAGAAATTCCAAGCACCTGAAGATACTGCAATTATTTGGTGACATCTGGGTTTGCTTGCCAATATTCGTCGTACATTTTGCAGTCTGTAAAAGAAAAGTAACCATAGCCTCACTAAGTGATGTTGAGGTTTTTATTTCATAAACGATTACTGAATAATTACAACTTTAGTTACAAATATATATATATATATATATATATATGAAAATGTAATAACTGCACCTTTTAAAAATTGCCAATGCATTATGAAACAGAACTTTATAAGATGTGGACTTGGCTAATCCTAGATAATCTTCCTGAAATGCAACTCTTTGATGAAATCGCTTTAAACCCCCTTTTAAATTTTCATAGCGTACTCTACACAATCGCAAGCTATAGTTCAAATGCAATCAGATAGTTCATAGATGAGTACAAAAACTCCATAACTGCAACAATATACCTGCTCTTTAGCATTTTGCATTCAGAGAAAAGTCCGCTGCTTTGCTAATTCATGAAAGTCATTAGGATTCAATCTCTTCTAGATTCAAGTTTGAGTAAATCACATAAAATGAACGATTCATCGACAGTAATGAATATTCAATTCAAATAGAGCTTCTCGTATCAAGATTCTTGAAAAAATCTGTAGATATATTAATCTTGGATAGATAAAGTGAACGTAGAAGATTTGTTTAATGAGTTATGAATACTCAAAATAAGGTTGGATTAGAACAATTAGCTTAAATCTAATATATGTACATCATACGTCATGGCATTTTGTGCAAATGACTTCTCCTTACGCTCTCTGTATCATGTAAAATATTATTACGTTCTTAGATTTTGAATAATTATTTACCTTGGATTTTTAGTTGTACACCGAAGTGCTCAAACATGAAATAAGATTTGGCTTCAGAT